CAATCAATCGTTAAAGAATGCGGCAAAAATCAATTGATAACAGATATGAAAAAAAAAAATTTTACATTTCCAGGAAAGGGCGGAGGCTCTCCACAAACTCTACCCTGAAATCTATAAAGATCCGAATCACAAACCTGAAATGCCGATAGCATTGACGCCCTTCGAGGCCCTGTGCGGCTTCCGTCCATTCTCCGAGATCCAGAATTTCTTGAAAACAATCCCTGAGCTTTCCACAGTGATCGGGGAAGAGACAACGAAGAATTTAATCGAGTCTGACGAGGCAAACTCGAAGGCTCATCTACAAAAGTGCCTGAATGGACTGCTCACTCATCCACCTGACTCCACTGCCGAGAAGTTGAAGAGTTTTCTTGATAGATTATCACAGATGGGTATGAGCTCAACTAATCGATACGAAAAAAATTCTCACCGGCTCTTCCCTCGCATTAAGATATTTATAATGTTCTTTTCTGATGTCTGTCTTTTTCCAGACGAATCTGGTAGAGATGCACTGAATGCCAGAGTTATTGAGAAACTGTACGGAGATTTTCCAGGAGACGTTGGCTGTTTTGGACTTTATTTCTTCAACTACGTCATTCTTCAACCTGGGGAGGCACTTTATCTCGGTGCTAATGAACCCCATGCCTATATATCCGGTGGTAAGTTCGAATAAATTATAAAATGGTGATTTCCCTTTAATTGTTAATGTTTCTGATTGAATGGTTGAAATTTTCTTATCAATTATCCACCAAGAATGTGCTATATTTTCACCCGAAACCAATGTAGAACGCGAAATAGTAATTTCTTCATCTGAAAAATTTACCTTTTGATTATTTTTTAAATCTCAGACTGCATGGAGATCATGTCTTGTTCGGATAACGTAGTCAGAGCTGGATTGACTCCAAAATTGAAGGATGTCCCCACATTGATCGAGATGTTGACTTACAATTGTGAGCCCGCCGAATCAAAAAAGTACAAAGCAATCAAAGAGGACGATTTCACGGAAGTTTTCAGACCGCCAATTAAAGATTTCGCTGTCGCGAAGATCGAAGTAAATCATCTCTTCTAGATGGAATTTCTGGTATTTCCAGCAATGAAGCGAATTGATTCATGTTTAATATTTTTACAGCTCCCTCCTGGCACCCCATCATACCAACTGCCTCCACGAACTTCAGCTGGAATATTAATAATAATCGAAGGCTCAGTGGAATTGAACTCTCAAGTCTACGCCTCAGGCTCTGTCCTATTCATCAAAGCAAATGATCAATTGAACTTGAATATTCTGACGAAGGGCGGTAGCACTCTCATGTTCGAGGGCTTCGCCAACGTTTGACGAAGTCAGAAACAAAACATTCAGTCATAATCCATAAAAAATACGTTTATCCAATTTTTAATTAATCAGCTAAGTAAAGTAAAAAAATTCTATTAACATCACGAGCTTCCATTTTCCCATGAGAAAAATCCGAAGAGATGGTGAGGAAGATGGAATACTAGCTGGAGTCGTCTGATGCCTCCTTCGGTGCCTCGGGGGGCTTATCAACTTTGTAATGACGATATTCTGGCTTCAACTCCCACGTATTCCTGTGAGGATTCTTCAGGTTGTAATTACATACCTCGTTGAGGATTTCCTTCAGGTACACCTATGTGCAATGTAATTTTTTATTGTAAATAGCAATTACAAGAGAACGTAGAAAAATTTTTGAATATTTATGGTATTTATATTCATAGTTTTGGTAAAATTGTGAAATAAATAAAGCTTTGTTTGGGAAAAAAAACTTACAATGGGCTGCCTTGTAATTTTCACTAAGTCTTTGATATTGTAGTACTGATGTTTTTCAAATGCAGCGAAGAGCATGTCCATCACTGCGTCTTTGTCGTCCCTCATCTTCTTGCCCTCGGCCTTCTTTTTCTCCGCATATTCGATCTTAAAAGACAATAATTATTCCGTAAATAATGTTAATATGGAAAATATCTGATGATAATTACATTGTGTTTGTGATCAGAGACTGGTTTGAAGTTCTGGACAACTCTGTCCAGTTGTTGAATTTGTCTCACAGGGACTGAGGCACGTTTTATACTCTCTTTCTTCAGGTTCATATAACAATTATCGGCTGGAAATAATTTCATGTAATTAAGGCAGTGAAATACAGGGCAGGGTGCAGAAATTCACGAGTAATTTCATTTCATGCATTTCAATTTGGATTTTTGTTTTACCATTTGGACGACATTCTAATTTTTGAACTATTCTTCCCTCCATGTAGAGTTTCTCAGATTCAGGCACAACAGCGTCCGAATTACTGGACCCTAAGAAGAGATTTATTTATTCTAGAAGGCAGCATGAAAAGACTTTTCTCAAGTCCTTCAAAATTATTCATAATCTCACCAGCTATATGAGAAAAAACTCCAAGTGTTTGATGGCTAACAGTGGAAACATCGAGTCTGTGTTGCTTCGGGATTTCTTCTTCATCCGGTTCCTTGAGTGCTAGAACAGCTTCCGATAATTTCAGAGACACTTCTGCCTTGTGTCCAGGATTTCTGAAGAAAAAAAGAAAAATTCAGAGGATAAAAATTTCTCAACACATTTTCTAATTCAATTTTCTCCTAAAATCATAAAAACCTTCAATCAGGATTATTTATACAGAAGAATAAACATAAATAATAACAACACTAACTTTGTTATTTTGAGCTTTCCAACCTCAATATTTCCAGGTGCCTTCTCCCATTTATTAGCAATATATTTAGGTACTTTAACGAGCCATACTCCACGTCCTGCATTACTGAGATCCAAATCTCGCTCCACATGAACTGATGGAGTGGACATTTTTATTGAATTAATTCATTCGGTGAATTGAAAGATCAACAATAAGGAACGATGTTTATCCCTCAGTAAAAAAAGCATGGACTGGAAAAATTCATGGCGAATCGCGAATCCCCTTTTTGGTTACAGCAACGAATTAGTGGAAGAATCATCACTTGGTAAAGCAGAGGGTTGCCGACAAGATGGCGCTAGGGGATGAAATGTTTCATTTTTGAAAATGTATCAGGGGAACATGAACGTCGAGGAGGTATTCACTAAAATTGAAAAATTCGAAATTTTTGAAAAAGTATCAGGGGGACATGAACGTCGAGGAGATATTCATTGAAATTGAAAAATTTGAAATTTAAAAAAAAATCTCAGGAGAACATGAACGTCGAGGAGGTATTCACTAAAATTGAAAAATTTGAAATTTTTGAAAAAATATCAGGGGAACATAAACGTCGAGGAGGTATTCACTAAAATTGAAAAATTCGAAATTTTTGAAAAAGTATCAGGCGAACATGAACGTCGAGAAGATATTCACTGAAATTGAAAAATTTGAGATTTTTGAAAAAATATCAGGGGAACATGAATGTCGAGAAGGTATTCATTAAAATTGAAAAATTCGAAATTTTTGAAAAAGTATCAGGGGAACATGAACGTTGAGGAGATATTCACTGAAATTGAAAAATTTGAAATTTTTGAAAAAATATCAGGAGAACATGAACGTCGAGGAGGTATTCAAATTTTTCAATTTCAGTGAATACCTCCTCGACGTTCATGTTCCCCTGATACTTTTTCAAAAATTTCAAATTTTTAAATTTCAGTGAATACCAATTTCGAAACGTACAAAATAACGTTCACTCTATCGACCGCTCCGTCTGACTGCGGAACTACTACTGAGGGCACTGAGGCAGTTACCGCGCCGGCTGAGGCGCAGGCGGCCCCCACCACGGCGTGTGGCTCCCTCCCACTCTTCGGTTGCAGTACTACTGTCATTGGCCAGGCCTGAGCCCCTACTTTAGTCAATCCTCCTTGTATGACTTCTTGCTAGAATT